GGGACCCTGAGTTAGTCTGCTGGCTTTAATGGACACTGTTATCCAATCAGGGTGGTTCCATGAAAGCCAAAGGTGGTCTGCAGATGTGACCGTGTGGGTGGATAGGAAAACCCTGCTCCCCGGTGTGTAGGAAGGGACGCTGACGTGCTCTAGAGTGAGACACCCGGGCCATCACAGTCTCCTCATGCTTCACTTACAATTCTCCTATACGTTACAAATATTTGAAAACATCAGCAACGAGCAATATCTTTTGAAAATTAACACCAAGGGTTTCTTAAGAATTCACTAAGTGCAGGCTATTGTGGCCATTCTCTGTCCCTGGAAGGTCTCATGCCCTAGGAAAGGTCTGTATGCTCCTGTCTCCAGGCCATGCAGCAGGCGGAGTTCCTCCCATACACAGCACTTTCAACCTGCTCACAACTGCTGTGCTTGCCCCAACACCTGTCCGTAGCTAGAGTTTTCCTGCCCTGCCCACAGTCAGGACAAATCTCTGTCACCCGCCAGTCCCACAGCCACTCAGACCCAACCAAGTAAACACAGAGACTTATATTGCTTACAAACTGTTTGGCCGTGGCAGGCTTCTTGCTAACTGTTCTTACATCTTAAATAAATCCATTTCCACAAATCTATACCTTGCCACATGGCTTGTGGCTTACCGGCATCTTCACATGCTGCTTGTCCTGGGGGCGGCTGGCAGTGTCTCCTTCTGCCTTCCTGTTCTTTCTTTTCTCCTCTCTGTTAGTCCCGCCTATATTTCCTGCCTAGCCACTGGTCAATCAGTGTTTTATTTATTGACCAATCAGAGCAACACATTTGCCATACAGAACATCCCACAGCACCTGTCACTCCATGGAGAGCTACCTCCTTAAGGACTGGCCCATTTCCACACTCTGTGTGTGTCCAGGGGTCCCGGCACAACTTTGGATGTCATAAGGCTCCAATACATGTCTAGTGAAGGAAGTATTGTTGTTGTTTGTTTTTGCTCTATTGGGGGGCCCACTACCCAAAATAAATCACAGCTCCCAAATAAATTACACATGGAGGCTTATTCTTAATTATGAATACTTGGCCTTAGCTTGGCTTGTTTCTTGCCAGCTTTCCTTAACTTTAAATTATCCCATCTATCTTTGGCCTTGGGGCTTTTATCTTTCTCTATTCCTGTATACCTTTTCTTTCCTTCTTACTCCATGTCTGGCTGTGTAGCTGGGTGGCTGGGTGGCTGGGTGGCTGGGTGGCTGGCCCCTGGAGTTTTCCTTCCTCTCTCATTCCTTTTTCTTCTCCCAGATCTCTACTTCTATTTATTCTCTCTGCCTGCCAGCCCTGCTTATCCTTTCTCTTGCCTCACTATTGGCTGTTGAGTTCTTTATTAGACCATCAGGTGTTTTAGACAGGCACAGTAACACAGCTTCACAGAGTTAAACAAATGCAACATAAACAAAGGTAACACACCTTAAAATACTATTCCCCGACAAAGCACTACAGCTTTACTCCCATAGTGACGGCAGTAAAAACAGAAGACTACAGCTGGAGATACTTATGACCACTACTCCGTGCCACTCTTGGGCATCGGTAACTCCAGATTCAGGGACTATGACACTGTCTTCTGGACCCTATAGGCACCCGGCATGCACATAGTACACAGATATACATGTAGGCAAAACGCCTATACACATACAATAAAAATAAATCAATCTTTTTAATGTCCCGAGGGCTGGCAAGAAAGTTCAGCAGATGAAGGCACCTGCCACGAAGCTTCCCTCCCCAGCAGCACCTGGTAGGAGAGAACTGACTCCCAAAAGTCCTTTGACCTCCATGTGAGCACCATTGCATGTGTGTGAGCACACAAAATAAATGACACTTAATGGGAAAAAGACAGACGGAGTGTGCCCACGATCCCAGCACTGGGGAGACAGAGACAGGGAAATCCTGTGGCTTACTGAGCAGCCAGCCTAGTTCACTTGGTAGACCAATGAGAGCCTGTCTAAAACACAAAGCAGACAGCATTCCTGAGTGTGAACCTGGGGATGTCCTCTGACCTCTGTAAACATGGGCACATGCATGCACCTCCATACACATGAACATGCACACATGAAAGAAAAAGAAATGAAAACCACACTGATACATGTGCTCACTTTGTCGCCTACAGAATCTAGATGTCACACATGTGACATGCAAATAGAAAGTTGACCACCATTTGGGAAGAGGAGGGGACCAGAGTGCTAGGGGTGTGAGAGGGGACAGTGGGTGAGTCTCAGCAGAGCACATGATAAACATGCATGAAATGTCATCATGAAACCATTATTTTATACAATAATATCCACTAGAAAAAATAATTATTATGTCCCCAAAAAGGAGGCAGTGGACTTGAGATGCATGCCTGACATGTCTCCCTCCCAAGGTGGCCCTGGCTCTGGCAAAGGCACCCAGTGCAAGAAACTGGCAGAAAAATATGGATTCACTCATCTCTCCACTGGCGAGCTCCTGCGCCAGGAACTGGCCTCAGAGTCAGAAAGAAGCAAACTGATCCGTGACATCATGGAGCGTGGAGACCTGGTGCCCTCGGTAAGCAGAGACCCACCCTGCTCTCCCTGGCGGTCAAGCCATTGACTGATATTGGTGAAATTATTAAGGCCACTCCACGTAGTTAAAAGGAAGATTTATTTAGTGGGTAACTTACAAATGAAGGGATAGGTAGGTGGCGGGTTCTGGAAAAGACGCAGCACAGTCCAGTGGTGTTCTCTGGAGAACTCCCCTTCATCTACCTCTAGCATCCAGGTCCAGGAAACAAGACAGCGCGCAGCGCATCTGGATCTCGGGTCCTCCAAGGTCCTCTGCCTTATAGGCGTGACAGTTACTGAAGCCTCAATGGGGGTTGGAGCTTCCAGACCAAAGCTGGAATGGCTACCCACTACAGACTACTGTGGCGGTCTGGATCACCGAGACAAAGACACCTTGAGGGCCAGGGAACAGCTTTGACCTCTCTCCTCGGTGACAGTCCTGAGGTGGGCTGGATTGGGCCGACAACCACTTGACTTCCAAGCTGTTCCTTGGCCAGCTGCTTAAATGTCAGCCTGGTACATGTGTTTCCAAACCCAGCCTCACTTTAGAGTAAAATCTTCAAAACATAGGTGGTATGGAATGCTCAAATCAGAAACCTCGGGGAAACAAAGTCTCCTTGGAGTGGAGGTGTGCTGTTTTGTGCTGCTTGTCCACACGACAGACTCTAGAGTCACCTAGAAGACACTCCTGTGAGCATGCCTGTGGGGGAGTATCTTGATTAGGTTCGTTGATGTGAGAAGATGCAGCTTGACTGTAGACGGGACCGTTCTCTGAGCAGGGGACGCTTATCCTAGCAGGTTCTCGATTGCTGTGATAAACACCAGGACCGAAAGCAGCTTATGGGTGGAAACAGTTCATCTGGGTCACAGGTCACACTCCATCACTGGGGAGGCCAAGGCAGAAGCTCATGGCAGGAACCAAGAGACAGGAACTGAAACAAAGAGCACGGAGCAAGCTGCTGGCTGGCTTCCTCCCCTGCTTGCCCACATCTGCTTTCTTATATAGTCCAGGCCCACCTCAGGGAAGCATATACCTACCTAGGGCTGGGCCCTCCCACACCAATCCACAATCAAGAAAATGCCCCACTGACCACTGACGTGCCCACAGGCCAGTCGGATGGAGGCAATTCCTCGGTTTAGGTTCCGCCTTCCCAGGTACGTCTCGGTTTATGTCAAGTTGACCATGAGCAGCCAGCACAGTCATGGGCTGGATAAGATGGAGAACACAAGCAACGTGGCAGCACCTGGTCCACGCTCTGCGTTTATTACGGATGCATCGTGACGTGTGTCTGTCTGTGTGTTTCAAGGCCAGAGGACGATGTTAGGTGTCTTCCCCCATTGCCCCCCACCTTGGTATTTGAGATGGAGTCTCTCACTGAACCTGCAGCTCACCTTTTGGCCAGGCTGGATGGTTAGGGAGATCTTGGGATCCATCTGTCTCTGCCTCCCAATGCTGTGGGTAGCTGCTGGCATATGCTGCTGTACCTGGCTTTTTCATTTGGGCACTAGGGAATTTGAATTCAGGACCTCATGTTTTCATAGCAAGTGCCCTTACCCACTGCACCATGTCCCCGTCCCTCAAAGATTATTCCTCAAAACTCGATCACATAGTGCTATTCCTTCGCTGCCCTCACCTTGCCGGTTCCCATGTAGCTTCTTCCTCCTCAGGTCGGGCTGTGGCTGCCTCTGCTGGCACGTCAGCCTGGTGCTTTCCAGCATGCACTCTCTAGCTGGCCTATCACTTTCCGCAGAGCTCCGCCTGAGGGCCGCACTTATCACAGAGGCCGCCCTAGGGAAAGCCGCATCCCTGGTGGACTCTGGCCCTATGCCCTCTCTAACTGTGTGCCCGTTATCTTCAGCTGCTGTCTGTTCATTTGTTTGCCATTGTCTGTCTTCCTCATTCGACTGTGAACCTGATGAAGAATTAGCTCATAATTGTTTAGGGAAGGGGTCTAGCCACACCTGTGATATCTGCATCCCCCAGACTCTGGCCAAAACCTAGAGACTGAGGGCCTCCCCACCTCCTCCCGACAGGCCTTGCCCCGACACTGCTCCCCTGCCTCCGTGTTCTTTCCTTCCTCATTTTCCACAATTGTTAAGTCAGTCTTTTTATGGGGAGACCATGTTGCTAGAAAATAGCCCTCCAATCTAAAAGCCTTCTCGAGTTAGCACACGCCAAGTTCTGTGTAATGCCTCCCGGGAGAACAGCGGCAGGGGAGTTAGGTTCTGAGCAGTGTTCCATTTGCCCCGGATCTGCCATGATGCCTTGTTCATCCAGTGTGAGACAGGACTAGCGTGTCTTCTGGGGTATAAAATGCTATGTTGGAAGATTCCTAGTCACATAACTGCAGTAAGGACAGATCGGTAAGAACCCCCCTCCCAATGGAACCATGGCCCAGACCTGACTGAAAGACCTACCCACACTATGCCATTAAGGTGGGGGAGAGGAGGAGGTCTCATGAAGGTTGGCCCAAGAGATCTGCTGTTAATGCTGCCAACCCTCCCTTCACAGAAGAATGTCTGAGGAGTCACATCCATTGTGAATTGGGGGATGCGGCTGGGCCTCTGCTGACCGCTCTTTCTGCTCTAGGGTGTCATCCTGGAGCTACTGAAGGAGACGATGGTGGCCAGCCTGGGCGACACCAAGGGCTTCCTGATTGACGGCTACCCCCGGGAAGTAAAGCAGGGGGAAGAGTTTGGACAAAGGGTAAGCTGATGTTAGCGTGTCCATCCAGAAGAAGAAAAGGACGTCACTCAGCTTAGGGGATACGTTCAAAGCCTTCATTTGCCCAGGAACAGTAACCAAATCTTTCCATTACAAATAACAGAAACACTTTTTAAAAAGTTGGAATATAAAAATAGGGCAAGAATGGTCTAGTTAGTAAGTCGTGGTCAGGTTAGGCTGGGTTTTAGGTGCAGAACTGCCCTTGTAGACCCCTCCTCGCCATGTCTGGATCTCCCCCTTGTGTTGGCCCATTCTCCTCTGTGCCATTTCTGTGGCCTCACCGAGAACTATTTCTGTTTTGGGGGTGGCAGGATGTCCCACAAAAGACCCAAGGCTGTTTCCTTCTCACCCTTCATCTCTGAATCACTGCGACAGGGGACTAGAGAAGATTCTGCTGACAGGCCCAGCCTGGAGGAGCCGGTAGGGGGCCACACAGCCAGAGAGAGGGCAGTCACCCCTGGAGAACAGGGGTGTACACACACCTCAGGGGAAGGAGATGCTGCCAGGGCAGGATCCAGAATGCATGCCACTCCCTTCCCAACCTGTCATCGCCAGCCTTGTGCCCTCCTAGTGAGGTAAGCGGCTCAGGGCCACGGTCTCCACAGGAACACCAGGAACTAACCACTGTCGCGGCTGCTAGGTGGGGAGCTGTTTGGACCAGGCTCTGTGGTACAAACCGTACACCTGGCCAGCGACTCCTCAAGTCCAGGCAGATGGCAGCAGTAGGCCACATTCCTTACAAGACTGATCCAGAGGCTACGAGGAAGCCATGGGTATTGGCTACTGTCTTATTCTACAGTGTGCCCGTCTGAACTCTTTGAGTCGATGTTTTCAAAAGTGAAGTGACCTTTTTAGGTAGATGGGGGAAAGAAAGGCCTCACGCTAAGGGAATGGATTAAGCACAGAGAGCTTTGGCGGCTTGCCGGTGGCCACACAGCTGGTGACTGACAACTAACGATGGGATAAAGATTTGGGGCACCCACCTCCGTCCGCTTCTACCACTGCCACATGGATGAAGGTGGCCGACCTTGGCTTTCACCTGCCAAGTCTGCTTTGCCTAGGCTCCATCAGGAGTCCCTCCACTGCCTAGCCCGCCCCCTAAATTCAGAGTCGAGGGCTGGGGAGACGGCTCAGCAGTTAAGAACACTTGCTGCTTTTGTAGAGGACCTGAGTTTGGTTCTCAGCACCCACACGGGGCCTCACAATTACCAGTGACTCAGATACAGGGTACCCCACTTCCCCTCTGGCCTCCACGGGCACCAGGCACCTACATGTGCTCCTCATATAAGCGAATAGGCACACACATACACATACTACATAAAATGAAAACAAAATAAATTTTTTTTTAAAAAATTAGAGTCAGAGAAAAGTTTCCCGGTCCAACTGGCAAAGGTGGACAGAGGTGGTGGATACGCATGCCCGAGCCTTGCGACAGTATCCATAAATAAAGACAACAACAGCACAAACAAGTAAACGGATGGGCAGATGACTGTGGCTGGCTTCGGAGTGACAAGCACCAGACGATGTCACAGCTGCCTTTGCTGAGGTCGAAAGAGTGTCAGCACAAGTCATGCCCCTGCCTTGGTGATCAGGGTGTAGCAGTCTTTTAAAAGTGTACTCAGAGGTAATAGAATTATCTTCTGAAACCCCCAAGTTGTCAAAGATAAGATACATTGTAAACATAGGCATCTCTTATTCCTGCCCCCCCCCTCTCCTGAGTTCTTCATCTGGAGTTTTAAAAGCCAGATCTGATGGCAGATCCCAGAATGGATGCCCTGGAGCTCCAAGCCATGTCAGGCACCAGTGGGGGATCTGAGGAGATACAGGCATAGCCAACCAGCAGCCCCCCGGCCACACGCATCCCGAGACTGCTATGGATGTAGCCCAACACATTTAGAGATGGTGACATTACGTCACAGTTCGAAAGGTTTGATGGCCCCGGCTGTCTGCCCACGCTGGCATCCTTATAGCACATCCCACCCGCAGCCTGGTGTCGGCCGCTCTGCAGGAGCTTCGACAAGGCACTCAGCTTCTCCCTCACTTCCCACACGACCCTCCAATGTCCCTGCCCCAGCATTTCTTCCTCCTCTGCCTAGAACCCAGGCAGTGTGAGCTCAGGGCTCACTATTGGAATTCCCTCCTGCTGTGGACCCCATTGAGTCAGATTTCGGACGCACGGTTGTGGCCTAGAAGAAGCCCACACCCTTCCTCACGAGCTGGAAGTATCTCACCAGTGGCTGGAGCTGCAGTGAACCAGTCACCTTCAAGTGACGTGTCTACCTCTTTAGAGTCGGTCTTTCCACACTGCTAGGAGTGTAACCTCAGCAGATCCGTGTGGTTACACAGGTGTGCACAAACTACACATGAAGCCTCCAAAGTGAGCGCCCACCTCAAATTCAAATAGAATAAAGACATTGCCCACACAGGAAGACTCTTGACATGAGGTCCATGAAAAAGCAATTTCCTCAAATATTAAAAAAAAAAAAAAAAAAAAAAGTTGGGGGCTGGGGAGAGCTCAAAAGTTCAGAGGCCCCCACTTCCGAGCCAGCACACGTCAGACAGTGCACAACCACGTGTAACTAACCCAGAGTACCTGACGCCCTCTTCTGGCTCTCACAGCACCCACACACACGTACACGTAGATAAAAATGAAATGATTTTAAATGTTCAGGTACTAATTAAAATGTTATCATATAATCAAAACAGTGTACAAAATTCTCAAAGAACTAATAAAATTTAAAGAAAAAATATATGTAAGTGATTCAGGTCACTAGGTCATTCCAGATGTAATTACTGTGTGCCAGCTGTGTTCATGGGAACAGGGCTGGATCCGGAAGAGTAAGGTCAAGCCCCTTAGATGATCGGCTGCAAGGCTTGTTACCATGTTACCATCCAAGTTACCATGGATGCCGGGAACAAGCAGACACCGGTTCAGTGTCAGGTCCTGTGCCCAAGGCTCCATTCCTAACAAGCCCCGACCCGTGCGCTGGTGGTCCCACCCAAGCTTTGGGTGTTGAAGCCACCTCTCTGCCCTCTCTTACATTGGCCCTGATGGTCTTTCAGGGCTGGCTCCAGATCAGATACAAATAACCTCTGTTTATGACTAAATGAATCCCTGAGCTATCTTTTCTGTTCCCTAGAGTGGCCTGGAAATGGCCCCATGCAAGCCTGGCCGATAGCCGCTCTTGCTCAGAGAGCTAGCTGACCCACCAGCTGCCTCCCAAGCTCGCCCTCTGCTGGCGAACCAGGGTTCTTTTCTCCTAGGCCCTCACCTTCACCTAGCCTTCCTGCACAAAAGCTCCTCAGAAAAGCAGAACCTGATCGAGGCTGGGTTATGTTCCAGAGACCAGGCTTTGGAGCGTTTCTCCACTCCGTTTCCTGTGCCCCGTGCTTCCCTCAGAGGGGGTGACCAGCTTCCTTCACCCATGCCCTGAACATGGCATGCTGTGGGGTGGGGGGATGGGGATAGGGAAGTCTAGTTGGTATGTCCCAGTGATCCCAGGAACAACAGGGTAGTTTAGGAGATTCATGGGGAGATGGAGAGGTTGAATCACAGATGGTCACCATCATCCATTAGGGGGACATTTCTTAATCTCCTCCTGTATGTAAGACTTGAGACCTGAAGCCGAGTCCCTGAGCCCTGCCCACTGAGGTGGGAGTCGGTGCAGGGAGGAAGCAGAGCAGCTAAAGCTTTGCAGACTCCGCTACATGCCAAGCAGTGGGTCGACAGTGCCCGCTTAACCCTGCCGGTGATGTCTACACTGCCCGCTTATCCCTCCCGGGGACGTCTACGGTGCCCGCTTAACCCTCCCGGGGACGTCTACAGTGCCCTACTTAACCCTCCCGGCGACGTCTACAGTGCCCTACTTAACCCTCCCGGGGACGTCTACAGTGCCTACTTAACCCTGCCGGCGACGTCTACAGTGCCTACTTAACCCTGCCGGCGACGTCTACAGTGCCCGCTTAACCCTCCCGGCGAGCCTGCGGTCTGTCATGGAATTCAGGACACAGGGATGTTAGGCGGGGTTTCTAGTCAATGATCCAGTCAGGTGGTTTAAAAGAACAATTCGTTTTTATGTCTCAAAGCTGTGCCATCCGACGGGCTCAGCTGGTGGGTTCTCCCTCGAGGTCCTCAGGACTGTAAAAGCAATGCTAGCCTGGCATTTCTACTCGCGCGGCCTCTCCGGTAGCTAGCTGAGACTTCCTCACTATTGGGCAATGTCAGAGTCGTTGAACACAGAAAGTAGCTGCCCTGCCTTCCCCTATGTTAAGTATTACATAAAACCAGACAGAAATGGCAGTTTCTTGTGGTAAAATTATATGTATACCAAATGTCTAAAAATTAATTTCTTTATAACTTACTACCAGCAAATGTTTAATTTGTATGGCTATTTTATATATTTGTACCCCAGGGGAGGTATAAAAATTACTCAGGCAAAACAGGGCCTTGTGGAAACAGTGTAGGAGGTCCTTACCCACTTTTAAAAGCATTCCCTCATTCCCACTGCCTTCCGTGCTTGGGAAAGACAGGGCGACACACTTCAGGGTGCAGATGGCTGAGCTCAGCGTCCCAGTGGAAGGACACTTCTCAGTGAAAGGTGGCAAGGGATGAATGAGGTCCACTTGGACACTTGTCACACCAGGGTCTGGTCATGACAACCTGACTCCAGTCCATACCTAACGCACAGGGCGTCCTTGATGGCTAGAATAAGACACACTGGTGGAAGGACGAAGGAGTTACTGGTCAGGGAGACCTTTACATCGGGAACAACAAACACGTATGTGCACACACTCGCATGCACACACATGCACACACACACAGGTATGCACACACCCTCCCCCTGAGTGTAAAGGACAGACTGGCTATTCTAGGTAGCCTATGATTGCTGCATTATGTGAAATGACCAGAAAGCTGAACAAGGCAGAGCTCTGAGGAGGCAGGTGGTGAGGGTCTACTCTGGAAACGAGAAGCCACGAGGTCTAGTCTTGTCTCTACCACAATGTGGTGCTGGGCACTTGAGAGGCCCCAGGAAGGGAAGGGCCCCCGGACCTTTTCTAGAATTCCAACTGACCAGGCTTCACTCCATCCTTCACCCCAGATTGGAAACCCACACTTGGTGATCTGCATGGACTGCTCAGCAGACACCATGACCAAGCGCCTTCTGCAGAGAAGCCAGAGCAGCCAGTGTGGGGAGGACACTGCCAAGACCATTGCCAAGCGCCTGGAGGCCTACCACCGAGCGTCCATTCCTGTCCTCGCCTACTATGAGACCAGAACACCACTGCGGAAGGTGAGTCTCCTCTTTGGATGAGCTGCTTGCTCTTTGCTCTTTCAGAGAGCGGAGGCAAGCTTTCTTATGAGATCAGGGGAAGTTGCAGGCCGTTGTAGGGTTGAGACCAAAATACAGATTGTTTTCTTCCCTTGCTATTGTCTCAGTCAAGGTCGGATATATATGAACATAAGAGGGGCTGACCATGGTGGTGCACATTTTTAATCCCAGCACTCAGAAGGCAGAGGCAGGCGGGTCTCTATGAATTGGACAACCTGGTCGACATAGCAAGCTCCAAGCTAGCCAGGGCCTTAGAGGGAGACCCTGTCTTTAAAAAACAGTTGAAGCCGGGTGGTGGTGGCGCATGCCTTTAATCCCAGCACTCGGGAGGCAGAGGCAGGCGGATCTCTGTGAGTTCAAGGCCAGCCTGGACTACCAAGTGAGTCCCAGGAAAGGCGCAAAGCTACACAGAAAAACCCTGTCTCAAAAAACCAAAAAAAAAAACCAAACCAAAACAAACAAACAAACAAACAAAAAAAAAAACAGTTGAGTATCTGTTGTCAGATGGCCATAAGAAGTTGGTCATTAATTTGCAGCAGGTGCCGTTTTGGCCTGTGGCCAAATCATCCCATTATGCAGCCCTGCTGGATAAAGCAAGCTCAGATTCTCAGACCCTGAGTAAGGTCGCACTAGGAAACCTCTGTGGGCTCCCACATCACGTAAGTGCACGGGCTCAAAAACCAGGGCTGGTGTGGAGGAGAGCGCCTCCGTTAAGAGCTCTTCCAGAGGACTCGGGTTTGATTTCTAGTACCCACATGGTGACTCAGAACCATTCCTGATAGAGTCCCAGGGGATCTGACACGCTCTTCTGTCCTCCAAGGACACTGCATGCACATGGTGCACAGATATACATGCAGGCCATACAACTGTATACATAGAAATAAAAACATATTAAAGGAATTTGGGGCTCCAAGAACCTTTGCAAGCCTCAATCACCCAGGAGGTCTCCTCACCTTGTGCTGCCGGAACAGCCAAGGAATTCTCCAGGTAGAAGGGAACTTCTTCCCTTCAGTCTGAGACAGTGGAAAGCCAGATGTAATTCAGTTCATCACGTTTCAGAGTCAGAAAATTCCCTTCTCTCTCTCTCTCTCTCTCTCTCTCTCTCTCTCTCTCTCTCGTCACCTGAATCTAAATCTGCAGACTCACAGGTGAACGGCTCATTGACACTGAACTAATAAGGTTCTCTCGGAGAAGTCGGACGTAGGCAGGCGTTACGAGTCTGCATTATTCTCCAAGAAGTCAAGTTCCCAGGCCTCTGGCTCATCTCTCAGGCTTCCCCTTATCGGGGATGCTGGCACTTATCTCCCTTGTCAGTATTGAAAATGGACCTGAGAACAGAGGGGAGACGCTGATTGGTTCTCCTGCCTCGCCAGGTCCTCTGCATACAGGGCTGCTGCCAACTCAGATCTTACACTACACTCCCAGCCTGAGACGTGTGTGTGTGTGTGTGTGTGTGTGTGTGTGTGTGTGTGTGTGTGACAGAAATAGTGCGTGACTTCGGTTTCCCGTCTTAGAATGCAAAGGGGAGCCACTCAGCAGGTTTCTCCCTGGGTTCTGCAGGCAGCAGCCATCAATGACCATGCTCTGCCTGAGGTGTACAGGCCTCAGGGCACAGCCCCACAGATAGATAAGCTAGCCCAAGGGAGAGAGGGCTAGTCCACAGTGAGTGAGTTTACCACTAAATAAGAAGCTGGAAATGAAGCATTGTGAAAAGTGCCACCACTGACAGAATATTGCTGGAAACACTGGTCTGGGTGTCAGAAAGTCCCAGGCCAGACTTGTGAACCTTGGTGAGTCACCTTCCTTACAGTTCTTTCTGATATAAAGAGGGCTGACGGCAGCCGCTGGAGTTCTTCCCGTCTGTTAGTCTGTGATTCTTAGTGGGGAAAAGCTTTCCCGCCCAGCTTTAAAGGAATACATGTTCATGATTGAAACTACAGAAGACCCATTTCTGAGTCCCACCACCCAGCCAGGGTGAACACTCTAGAGCTCTGACTCCAGAGAACATGGCCTGAACACAGGGGTGGGTGTGGTCACAGGACATGGCCTGGACATGGGGGTGGGCGTGGTCACCGAACATGGCCTGGACATGGGGTGGGCGTGGTCACCGGACATGGCCTGGACATGGGGTGGGCGTGGTCACAGGACATGGCCTGGACATGGGGTGGGCGTGGTCACAGGACATGGCCTGGACATGGGG